ATTGCCCAGATTGTGTTTTTAAGGTAGTTTTGAGTGTTTAGGGGCTGTTTTGAGTCTTTTGGTTTGTTTTAATGTTTTAAAGTATAGTTTTGCATTCTTTGAGTCTAGTTAGTGTTTTAAACTTTGTTTTTACGTTTTCAAGTCAGTTTCCAAGTGATTTAGCAATCCCTCCTAATCCCCGGCCTAGAACGATCCCTACTTACATACTTTACTACAATTGATAAAAAGAGGGTTTAATTTGTGTGTTTAGTTATTTTACGCATCAATACTATTCAAGAAGAATAACCATCTCTAAGTTGAAGGGTATACTGATGTTGTCTGGGAAGGATCAATTGATGATAGGCGTTCCACATCGCGTTTCTATACATTTGTGGGATCTAATTCAGTTACATGAAAGAGTAATGAATGAAATGTGGTAGCTGGTCTAGTGCAAAAGCAAATTACTGTGAAATGGCATTGGGGATTTGTGAAATATTATGGATTCGAATATTTGGGACAACATAATTCTCAGCCTAAGAAATTATTTTGTAACAATCAACCAGCACATGACTGCGCATAATCCAGTACATCATGACGGACAACATATGTTCCAGTGGACTGATGTTTTATCAAACAGAAGATCCATGGGAAGATCATTGAAGTACCAACTATTAGAATAGAAGATCAGTTGTCGGATATACTCACAAAGGCAGTTGATTGTCGTGTATTTACTAGGTTCTTATTCAAGTTGAGCATGTGTGATATCTATGTGCCAACTTGAGGAGGAGTTTTGACTTTTGAATATTTAGGATTCCTAGTTATCAGAGTAATTATTGTAATTAGTTTTATTTCTTTTATTGTTCAGGATTGTATTGCCCTGTGTTTTATAAATTCACCTTCTTGTGAGAAGAATAGAACCATTATTCTCCTTCTCTACTCATTAAAACCATAAGAAATGTAACCGTAGCAAAAAAAAAAAAAAAAAAAAGATACTTTATGTAACCCTAGGCAAAAAAATGATACTTTTGTTTGGACCCAAAATAATACTTTGGGCCGAGCTCATGATTGTTCTCAGTCTAGTAAGAAGTATCAGGAATATTCCCACCTTGGACCTGGCCCAGTAGAGTTCGGCCGAATCTTATCAGAAGATGGTTCCATCTGGATAAGGGTGAAGTGGTCGAATCCTAGTACAATAAGGATTCCTCAGAAGCTAAGGATGCTTCGAGTCAGAAAAGATGCCAAGAGTCAAGGGTTGAATCTAAGTGATTAAAGAGCTTGATTCAGAATCCTATAGGAGTTAGGATTGGTTGAGACCTATTTAAATTGGGGTAAAAAGTTCTAGTCCAGGTGAAACTCTACCTCGGTCATCGAGGAAATTACTACTATAAATAGAGAATAGAGAGAATAGAGCGCATCATTCAAAGCCCCTTCAAATCAACACACAATTGCCTTGCGTAAACAACCTATCAAAAACCTTGAGATTTTTATTTTCCTTTTTCCCACAACACACCTTCAATTTGGATAAACAACAATGTGGAGGCAACCGGTCGGCAACATCTTTAGTTTGGATAAACAGCACTAGAGAATCAGCCAATCGAGGAACACCTTCAGTTTGGATAAACAGCACTGCCTGGAGCCGTAGAATTAGCCGATCGAGGAGCATCTTCAATTTGGATAAACAACACTAATTCAAGACCGACTAGTTACTTATCCAAGTCTTGGCCAGCAAGGATTTCCGAGTCCTTGTTGGAAGAGGTCATCTCATCAGCCTTCTCGAAGAAGTGAGGTGTTACCAGGTTACTACATTCGGCACACTGAAAGCCAAATTCGGTATTTAACTTCGCAAAACTAGCAGCCTTGTCTTGAGGTTCTAGAACTTGAAGGCCAAGACGTGTTAAGAAGTCAGCAACACGCCCAACGCCACATCAACATTCATTTCACCCCCTGGCTGAGCTTGGTTGACGAGTTGGCACACCCTGCATTCAACCGAATGACGTAGTTAACTCATTAATTACTCGGTCTACGCGCCACGTAAGGTAAGTAGTGTTTAGGGTCAACAACTTTATACCCCTTGATATGATACATGGAAATAGAAATGAGATCACTATAATTTTGAACATGATAATGTATAGAGCATGTAACTCATGCGAATGAAACTTTTGGATCAGATCTGGTTACCACTTATTCCAAAAGTGATGTAATTTTAAGCATGATAATGCATGGCAGATAGTTATGGAAGAGAAAGAGAAAGATAACGGTAGTTTAGAACATAAAAAACAAATTAAAAATGAGTCTTGGAACTAGACAAAGTTTCATTTTTAAGTCGTTAGATTACTATAAAGCCAAGTACAGGCAAAATGCGTGGCAAAAATGTAAATATATTCGGTTATTCGAAAAACTACTTGACTGTCACGACAACTAATTAATTTTAATAACCTAATTCTATAAAAAAAAAATCCAACCTATATTACCTACTACTGTCGACTCTTGGTAGGAAGAATTCTAAATTCTAGCACTGACATTCTTTTTCTAAGGCAAGCTAATGGGGTTCGTCGTTGTCCAGTCTTGTTATCTGGTTCTTCTTGTACCATCGCATTAAGCTTAACCTATTATTTGCTGAAATCACTGAATAAAGACAACACAACTCACTTAACGATTTTATAATTAGACGTTTTGTTTAATTTTGCAATTTTTGTTTTATTCATTTGTAGGATCAGACAAGATATATATGAAACCCGTGACCCTGAAGTTGCGATAACTTTTGTAACAAAATTAATTAACCTCATTCGCTGCAGATTTTAAAACACATAAACTGCACATGCATCATCCATCAATCACCATGAAAATAATGAAAATTAAATACGGAAATCAAACGCATCAAGACAAAGTTTAAAAGGAACCCAACTGTTGGAAGTTCTTATTGGGGGTATTAGGTAGCAAAAATTGTATGTAGTAATATAGAGTTGTTAGGGTAATTTTAATTATAAACGTGCCATTATTTTTTTCATGTTAAAAATATTACAAAGAAAACATCGAGGGATACCAAGATTCCATCAATTACTTCCAACAGAACCATCAAAATTAAGTTTAAGATATTCAAATTTGGAGGGATCCAGAATAAGTTATTACTAGCTAGGGCTCTTATTTTTCTGTTTCTTTTTATGTCCAAAAATCTGAAAGAATATGTTTAATTTGAAAGACCATATATATTACTTATGTTAGGCTAAATATTATTAAAAAATAAATTAATCCTGATCTCCCATATCACTGTAAAAAAAATTTCTTAATCTCTATTAATTAATGAAATCCTATTTTTGTCAACCAAAAGAGAGTGAAAAGACAACTTAGTCTTCAATCACACAAAATATGGGTAATAATGTAATTTCACGGGTTCAAATTTTACTGTTTTTATTGAAGCCTCGCCTACAGGTGATGTTAAAATATCTCTAATATTTAAAATTAAAATAAAAAATAAAAAAACCAAAAACAAAAATCTCTCACTCCCCCCACGGTCTCTCTCTCTCCCTCTCCCCCTCTCATTCTAAAAAAATGTGTTCATAAACACAAAGTGTATAGGCAAATGCTAGTATAATTGAAGAAAAGAGAACCATTGAGACAGTATCCACTGGATTAAATTACAAATTGGTCGGAAGTCCATAAATTGTTCTAAGATCATATAACTGTTGAATATTGAAGTGTAACCTTTAACGCTTATTGTGTAACTTTGCATTTCTTGTAATTTAGACATTTAATGCTAACGTCATGTTCATGTTGTAACACTATTACACACAAAAATTGAGTTCAAAACTGAATAAACAATGATGCGTAAATCCATATTGTTTACTAATAATAACATATATTTTAGAGAACTGTCATTTGCACTTCTTATAAGTGTATTTTTCTTTCTAAATAGAAAGTTTGGAATACGAAATGAGAATTTTTAAATGTCAACAACAATTCTCATACTTTATCTTGTAATAAGACAAAAAAGATCAATAATTTTTTGTTGGGTACTATAGAATTTCCTTATTATATAACTTTTTTTTAGGGAATAACCCCACAAAGGAAAGACAGCACCATCCATTAATGATTTTGCAATCGTCGGTAAAAACCCCTCTATATGAGTCACCTCCAACAACCGTCAATCTTTCTCCGCATAATCCTTGTCAAGGATACAAGATCACAAAATCACCACCTCAAATTTGAACAACAATTGTCACTATAAGATTCGGGATTAAGCACAATAAGTCATAACCTGCTACAAAAGCTCTTCTCCTGAAAAAATCCTAAACCCTAAGCTCTCCTCGAAAAAAAGGAGAGAATGACCACTGCTAAAACAGAAAAAGAAAGAAAAGGATCAAGAATGATTGCTGCCGACTCGAAGGTCAAAGACTGAGGTCAGGGACGGCAAGGGTTTTCTTTGGTTTTTTTTCTCTTGCATTATATAACTTTAACTATTAGGTCACAAATGAGCTAATAAGTATTTATAGATAGCTGAAAATTGCCGCTTTTTCCCGTCTCTGCAGCTAAAAATTGCCTTTAGAATCTACCAGGACACCAAATTTTATGACATGGCTTATTTGATTGATTCAAAATTATATATTACAAAACATGTATTATTGACGCACATAAACTAAACTAAGCAACAATACTTTTTTTGTCAAGTGATAGATTTTGTTACATTGGATGTTAAATTAACCACCGATGGGGTGATCTCACATTTTTATACCAAATTTGTGTATCATATGATATGGCAAGTGATGCATATGTGCCACATCAATTAATGAATTTTTCTCATTAGACTTAGAATATATAGACATCACTTCATGTGTATGTATGTCAAGTTTAAACCACCAACAATAAGCAATTGTAGGTAATAAAAAATTTACACAACCCAAGTTCTCCTTTGCCATTGTATTAAAACCAAACAGTGGATAACTACAGCTTTTTGAGACTATAAGGTCTAGGAGAACGGGCTCTATAAATACATTCTTTCTTCATCATTCAAAGTATCCTATACATCCAACTTTCAGTCAAGGAAGAGGGAGATGGGTATCCTTAATCACATTGCTTTGATAAGCGCAGCTTTTGTTATCCTACAAACTCGTTGGTCAAGTAGTTGGCCTATGGATCCAACCCTTGGCTTCCTACGACTCCCACTAAACAAATCCAACTTTCACGTCCAAAAACCATATGATTTGCAAGAAAGTGAGCGCTACAGCTTTAAACATGGAGTGCACAAGATGTGGGTATACTTCACGGACAAGCCCCTCTATCGTAATAGTCCTACCCATCCTCGAACTGAGATCCGAATAACGGTACGTAAAGCATTTGACAACACAAACTAAACTTCTACATGTATCTTCACAAATTCTTTTTTAAACCTCCTTTACTATGTGTCATATATTTTCTGGTCGTCATTTGATTTAATCGTGTGCTTCTGCGAATATATTATGCAACCACAATTAATCTTGTAAGGAAATATATTGCGCCATGACGGTGGGGATAGGTTTGGATTGGACTACCCCCTACATTCATGAAGGAGATCGATGCTCACCACACCCTATTATTTGTCATTAGATAAGTTATGTTTATCTATTATACAAATTTCGAAATTTAATTTTCTACTTTTGTCGAGATTTTCTTCTCTTAATTCGTCCAAGCTAATCATAAACACCAAATATGCAAGACCTCTTACGCTTAGGAAATCAATTCGATTTTGAGCGCTTCTTTCTCCCGGATACCTCAGTAAATCAATGATGAGTGCACGAGTTACCCCAAGTAATAAGGTTGGAATGATGAGGTTAAGTTCATGACAGGCCGAATATTCTATCACTTCTACACGTCTCCAGTGAAGTAACGATCGAGGTATGGGGTTGTATGCATGCAGTGATAAAATGAGAGTACTAAAATCTTAGGGGATATTACTAAAATTATAAATAGATTTAAACTCCATGAGATTATTTTTACTATTTATATATATATATATATATATTTTTTTATTTTTTTTCATTTCGTAGTTAAAGGGATTAGAAGTATGTTAAACCTTAAGCCATCTTACTTTACAGTTAAAAACGTCAAGGGATTCTGTTACAGAAATAATCATTAGGAGATTGTGTAAAGACACGATAAACCTACGTTACTTTTCATAAATTTTTCCGTGAAAACATGTCACTTGAAGTAGTATTTTCGTCAATTAAAATAAATCAAATCTCCTCATAGTTTAATATTTTACCTGCACTACAAATTATGTTGGAAAATAAATTATGTTTCTATATACCCCAAAAACAACTGTAATGCTATGTTTAAACTTAACTTGGCCTACGTTTTCATTTGATGAGTAGAGATGTGAATTTCACAAAATCTCTAATGAAATTAATTAATTAATATTATTAACAGGAAATTTAGACTTACAATTTGGGGGTTAATTACACAAAACCCCTTGAAGTTTATCCTGTTTTCACAAAACCCCCTCACTTTTGATAAGTAATGCTAACACCCCTTGAGGTTTTAATATACTTTCACAAATACCCCTTTAGTTGAAAATCAGTCCCTAAAAAGACAAATTTACCCTTATAATTAATTACTTAACAAAATAAAAACTATTATAAATAATTAAAAAAAAATAAAAAATTACACAAAACATTAAAAAAAAATAAAAGAATGATAAATCCCATTGGAATCCAAACATCTAACCTATGTTTGTTTTCAAACTACTGCCACTAACATCAACATGCACTCGACCCACAAACCCATTCCCGTCAACTTCTTACTTCTAGCAACCCCCTCTCGATCTTCTTCTTGGTTAAACAATCCCAAAGCTTAGGACAAAAGAGATGGCGAGCGAGGTCGACGAGAAGATTTTCTGGAAAGTGTGAAACTAAGATAATCGAGCAAGAGAGATGGTGATGTCGACAAGAAAATTTCAGAATGAATGAGATGGCGATGTTGTAGTTAATGGCGTTAAAAAACATGAACGGATCGGTAGCAGAGAACTGGCCGTGCTCTCCAGTTTCATGAAGAAAATCGATTCTTTTTCGTCTTCTTCTAGTGTAATTAACATATATGTATGCTTACTTTAGTTCCAACCCCTGGTGATTTTAGTGAAAGCCATGAGATGATTAGAGTGCTCGGATCTCCTGCACTAGAACCATTAATAGGTTAATAGTTGTAGCCTGTATCATTCATTATTAATTCTCAACGAAATAAAATCTATGTGGCAGCATAATAATTATTCCCAATTGAATTGATTTTATATGTTCATGTTCATGCCCCCCCCCCCCTACACCCCAGTTCAAGACCAGAACGTCGACAATGAGTGCTGGGCTGGATATGGTTCAGAGCGAGAGAAAGAGAAGAGGGGAGGAGTCTTTTGGTGGCAATAATACTTTTGAAAGATGGCGGGTGAAAATGGAAGGGAAAGAAGATCCATCTGGTTTTTTTTCTTTTTTTTTTTGTTTAAATTTTTTTAGTTTATGAAAGTGTTTTTTTTTTTTTTTTTTTTTTTTTTTTTTTTACTTTTCAAGTAATTAATTATAGGGGTAAATATTTCATTAAGGAGTGATGTGAAAGAAAATTAGAATCTCAGGGGGTGTTACTGTTACTTATCAAACGTTAAGAGGTTTTGTGAAAACATGATAAACCTCATGAGATGTTAGTGTAATTAACCCATAGGTCAAAATAAATTCAAATATATTCCCAATTAGGGTTGCTAATATCCACTCAACTTTCTTAGGAAAAGCTATAAATCAATATATTTGTTTGTAATATAGATTAATTAGTGAAACGACCTCAAGGTACACTTATCAATTAATTGTGTATCAGCAGGGATACGATTATTCTTCGGGTGTATGGCAATTCGAAGGATACGGGTATGTACCATGTGGAACAGCCAATGTCACCATAATGCAAGTGTTTGGGGGAAGTCCTCATGCAACAACGTTTATGCTTAGAGTTGGCCAAAATGGTACCCTTACATATTATAGGAGTGCTGTTTTGGCTTCAAACATGTACGACAGGTGGTTCAGGCTTAATGTGATCCATGATGCCAATGCTTCGCATTTAAAGGTTTATATTGATGGAGTTCTCAAGTTTGAGGCACCTGGTCGGGGAGGGACCTCGCATTATTTCAAATGTGGTGTCTACTCGCAGCCAGATGGTTCCTACTACATGGAGTCTCGTTGGAAGGGAATCAAAGTACTCAAGAAATGTGGATGATTGGTGCCTAAGGGTCTACAGAACCTTGATGACGTGCTGGTTGACTTGACGCCTCAATTTACATGCATGCAAGTGAAATATTATGTCGATTTACGTTTTATTTTTGCTGAGTTTGTGAAATGTTATATTTTGTAAGAATGACACTACTTGATTCTTCCCACTTTGCATGCTAGTGGTGACACTCACCACTCCATGATTACCGTTCGATGAATTTGATTAATCCATCTACTACACAAATCTGAAAATTTAAACTAATCTAATAATAATTAATATGGTGATGAGTAAAAATACACTCTTTATTTATTTAAATGAATAGCCTTGGCCTCCTTTCTCTCCTCTCCTCTATGAGATTGCCAATTTTGTGCCATAATTCTCCATATTATTAAAAAGAAAAACCGTAACCATGACAAGAGCACAATCATCCATGGTGGATGTCTCTCCAATACTATTTTAGGTTTGCAAGCGATGAGTTGAAGTAGCAAGTGCAAAAATAAATGAAAGGGGTTAATTGTTTTTGTATATACTAGTTAATTTTCAATGGCTTTTAAACTCGACTTGTTTAGTATGGTGCTACCTACTGAGCAAGTTGTTTGTTTCCCCACAGTTCTTCTCTTCAACTAATGTCAATACAACAATTTTTTTTTCTAACCAAAGTCTACGTCACTTGCTAAAATTACCTCGCTTAAAATTGTCAAATATTGAATAACAGGATTCTAGTGTTGAAAATTTATAAGGCCTTAAACAAATTATCCAATATGTAAAAGGTTTCACAAAATAGTAGGCAAAGGTTATACCATTCAATTCTTCAGCCCGGCTCTAATTATACCAAACAATAAAAAATCTTTTAATCATTGGAACAATAAAATAATATAAAAGTATGTTTTTTTTAAATGTCATATAAATTTATACATTTTTCTTATTTTTTTATATAAATTAAAATTTTAAGGGATTTATTAAAACTACATTCGCGCACTGTCTTGAAGAGTGAAATGCACAAATCCGTTTTTGTCCCATTGGGTTTTTTGTTGGCAAGATTTTAGTGAGGCAGCATTATGCTTGTCCAACACATTATCAATATTTCTTAAATTATGCTCGATTTTTCTCCTTGGCTTTGGTTTTTTTTCACTGATTTATCGAGGCAAGATTGGTGAACATCCAAATAAAAGTGTTACAAATAACATTTATTATATGGCTGTTCACCTTAAAATCACCATTCATTCAACAAAATTTAGTAGTAGTAGTACTTGAGAATGGAGAGACATATTTTTATACTCTAATTAAAAGTCCAATATATTAAACCATGATGGTTGCCGGAGGGGACAGGCGTGGCATTAGTTGGCGGGAGGAGTAGGCGTGGTGGCGGCAGCAAGAGGAGATGAAGCAGGGGCGGAGGAATTAGTAGTAGTAGCAGATGCAGCGGCATCACAGTAGCCTAGCAAAATGTTACCCTCCTCAGTCGTGAAACCGATGGAAGTCAGCATTGCAGGCCAGCAGTGGCGCGTAATAGTGGCAATGGCTTGGCAACAATCAGGCCCTATATCAGCCTGCCCATTCAGGAAAAACAGAACCACCTCATTGGAGCATGATTTCAGCTCCGCAAGCGCATTCCAGCAATCGACTAGCCCGCCATTTCCTTCACTTCCAGTTTTGATTCTCGCTGTGATGGGGATGCTGTAGGCTGGCTGAATGGGATCAATCACGTTCCTTGCTGCAAGTGCATAGTTTGCACCGGTGAATATTAGGCATACTGTCACCAGGAGAGCTACATTTTGTAAAGCCATGGTATTACTGCTAGAACTACCACAGATGAAATATATGTATGTATTTGTTTTTCTGAAAATCCAAATGTGTGAAGAAACTGTTGGGGCTTGGGAAATAATTTATAGTGGAGATTGATCCGGTGAGGAAGCAGAGAGGGCTACTAATTATTGATTAAGGAGTTAATTAATATCATGATCATGGAGTTTGATAATTTAATTTTGGTGTTTGATTAATATTCCAGGAAACGGTTACATGTGTAACTTACGAGAAAGAAGGTAATGAGCTGAATGCCGATGCCTGATGGGTGTTGTCACCAAAGACCTTCCCCGATTGACAAAATGTTTTCGCTACTGACACTTGAAAAAGAAGCTTTCAAGATCTCGTCGCTTCGGTAAATCATTTGAGCCCCTGATACATGTTCGGGTGACTACAGAAGTGTTAACCATAGGTCTTTGTGGCGCTCCGGAGATCCTTGGATGTTTTGATATAGCCACGTCGTTTTTATGCTTCTTAGACTAAACATGTTTGCTTTAAGAATTTGATTAAACATTCTCCTACAATTTTGGTGCAATGTGTATCTTAATTTACCCATTTTGATGTACCTAAATTACATGACCTGCCATAGCCTTTAACAAATCAGATTTTGGTATCCAGTTTCTTCGCGCCAAAAGAAAGGAGGTTCCTAGATTCTTGCTAATTGATGTCTCAGAGTTTTAATTCGAGAAGAATACTGATTGTTCAAGATAAGAAGGATTTTTTTTGTTTTTAGTACATCGATATTTTTACACTAAGGGGAAGAGGAACACTACTACAAAAGGGACTATCATTGGCGATCAAAAACCGACAAGAAACACCAATTAATGTCGGCTATATGGTAATAATCTGACATTAAGTAGTGCAATGTCGGATTGGGTTAGCAACACCAATACTACCTTCACGGAAAGGGTATTGATGTCGCTTAGACCCCTTAATCCGCCACCATGAAGCAAAGTAATATAAAATAAAAAGAACAACAGCGTCGCTTAAAAGCGACATCGTAGATTACGTCGCTTATAAGCGACATTAAATTTTGACATGATGACGCTACTAACCGACATTAAGTAACAATTAAACAATGGGCAGCCTAATTTGGTATCGAATTCACTATCCACGAGATTCGAACTTAAGACCTCTCACTTCCAAATGAAGAGGAATACCACCAAACCGTAGTAATAAGTGGCAAGATATGAAGGATTTGAACTTAAAGATATTAATCTTGTTAAGTTTTAGATTTGATTTACAATAGCTCACGTTTCTCATTCAATATGTCGATTTGGAAAACAATTTTCTAAAATTAGAATTCACTAGTTTTCAATTAATATTGTCGACAACGATAAGCTTCTGAAATCAACACCCCTATGATCAAATACAAAATCATCAATGAATTGTTTTACTGAACTCATCGTATTGTAAGTTTTAATGCCCTCTTTTCATACTAAATTTGTAACGTACCAGGAGTTTGGTACTTTAGTGAATCTTATGTTGACACATATTGATTGTTGGGTCATGAAAATATGAATTTAGAACGTACCGGACATTTGGTACGTAAAGTTTTTATTTTTGAAACGTATACTTCTAATGAAACATTATACAATGTGTTTGAGACATACCTTTTGTTTGGCATGTCTCTATGTTATTTTGACAAGTAATGATCATTTGGTATTAAACTTGTTGATGCACAAAACCGGAGGTCTTGGAACAACGTAAATCCGACCATGAATCTGCAAGAAATGTAAATAACACAAGATGTATCGTGGTTCACCCCCAAGGTTTGGGCTACGTCCACACTGATTATGTATTTATCTGAGGAGGAGAGAGCTCTGAGAGTGAGAGCTTTGAGAGGGGATGAGAGGGCTGAGAAGGCTCCAGAAATGGCCTCCCCTAATTGTGAGGGTGAGGGGTCCTTTTATAGAATAAGAACTCCTTACTTATTACATATTTGCCCATTCCTTTATTACATAATTACATTTAAGTCTCCCGATTATTTATACGAGGTCTAAATACGAGGCCCTAAATATGGTATAAACAGTAGTCCCCCAAGTCTTTAGTCAAGAGAGTCTTTTGGCTGGAGACTTGAAATTCAGTCCATGTGTGGGCCGAAGTAACTAGATGTTGTCTTGAACTGATGCTCGATATGAGACAATGCTCAATCTGAAATGATACTCAACTAGAAGTAGCACACGCTACGAGACTGCTCGGCTCGTGGCTTACATGGCCTTGGTTGGCTCGGCTTGTGGCGTTTGAAAGTGAGGGAGTCCCTTTTATAGAATAAGGGCTCACTCCTCAATACATGAATAATGGGTTAGGAGTGATGCTCATGGCGAGGCGGTTGCTCAGCTGGCTGCGGTGCTCTCTAACGAAGGTGAGGGAGTCCCTTTTATAAAATAAGGGCTCGCTCCTCAGTACATGAATAATGGGTTAGGAGTGATGCTTGTATCGAGACGGTTGCTCAGTTGGCGGCGGTGCTCTCTAACGAAGGTGAAGGAGTCTCTTTTATAAAATAAGGGCTCGCTCCTCAATACATGAATAATGGGTGCTCTCTAATGAAAGTGAGGGAGTCCCTTTTATAGAACAAGGGCTCGCTTTTTAATACATAAATAATGGGCTAAGTCCCCCAAGTATTTTTCATGAGGCCCAGTTGAGGCCCAATATATGGTACATAATGTAGTCCCCCAAGTCTTCGGTCAACAGAGTATGTTGGCTGAAGACTTCAAATTGAATCCATGTATGGGCCGAAGTGGTGGTTGTTCTGAGGCGGTATTTGTATACCCTGCACTGAAGCTTTGTAGGTGAAGCTTTGCAAGTGAAGCTTTGAAGATAGAGCTCTGTAAATGAAGCTTTCAAAGCTGGAGCTTTTGTAAATGAAGCTTTTGAAGCTAGAGCTTAGTAAATGATGCTGTTGAAGTTAGAGCTCTGTAAATGAAGCTTTTAAAGCTGATTAACATGAGTGATGCTCATGAATGTTTATGTTAATTGACATGAGTAATGCTCATGAATGTTAACATGAGTGATGCTCATGAATGTTGACATGAATGATGGTCATGAATGTTTATGTATGATTGTTATGAGTGATGCTCATGCATGTTTATGTATGAATGACATGAGTAATGCTCATGTATAATTTGGAGTACTGGGCGTACTTTTGATCAACTGGTTGGTGGTAATAGCGGCAGGTTGCCGAATAATTTTGTAGTACTGGGCTTACTTTTGATCACCTGGTTGGTGGTAATAGCGGTAGGCTGCCGAATAATTGTGGAGTACTGGGCGTACTTTTGGTCACCTGGTTAGTGGTAATAGCGGCGGGTTGCCGAATAATTGTGGAGTACTGGGCGTACTTTTGATGACCTGGTTGGTGCTATTTTGGGCTTATAAGCCTTCGCTCTCCACAACATGCTAGCCCATTTATTTTGGGCTTTGCCGTTTTTTTTTTTTAAATTACCCTCTGATGGGGTTTATACATATTACCCTCTAATGAGGTTTATACAGATGTCTCTGAAAGATAAAAATAAATTACATCATTCTGGTGGGGTGTTTATTCCTTACTTTTGCAGTGTCCCCATGTGCTTCTGCAGAAGAAAGCCTCTCTTTTGCTTTCTACTTTTTCTCGGTTTTTTATGCTTTGCTTTCGCTTTTGTTTCTGTTTCTTCTTTGTTTCCCACTGCTTTTCTTCTTTTCTTTTTTATTTGCTTTTGCTTATGCTTTCGTTTTTTCTCAGCTTTTTGTAATTATCTTCGAGACTGATCGAGTAGTGGGCCTTCTGCTGGCACCGCTTTGATTTGATTCCCAAAACTCATTGCTCCCTCTATCTATATTAAATATCGGGATGGCAAAGTGGGACCTAGGATTTTAGTGAGGTTGAAGCTTACTCTATCAACATGATGGGATGATTTTTGCAGAGAGAGATAGATCTGAGCTTCACACAGTACTCTTCCCACGTTATAGACCCCCCATCGTCACCATATCTGGATCCATGGTTCCGAGCCTTGTGTGGTCAACTCCTTTTGAGCTCCTAAAAATCGTCCATTTTTCAAGGTAGGAACCAGTTCACTGGCCTGCTGGTTTGAGAGCTTGTTGTGGTCATCGTCGTCGTCATCGTTAGATCGAACTAGTGACTTTGTTAGATGCACAAGACCCCAATCTTGCTTGATCACATCCAAAGAAACCAGTTCAAGCACCCCACTCAAAGTTGTAATACCGGTTTCTTTGGCGCACATGAGGGTGGCCCAGTCTGGTCTCTAACCTGGAGGTAAGAAAGGGAAAATGGCCCATGTAAAGTTCCATCAGGGTCAGCCCCAAACTCCATATGTCACTAGTGTAGCCGTCGTAATTACTGTCGTACGTATCTGGGTCGAATCTCTCCGAGCTCATGTAAGCACACGTTCCGACGTAGGAGTTGCAGGCGTCCAACGTCCGGCACATGATCTTGCTCACTCCGAAGTCGACGATTTTTTTTTACTTCCACGAGACTGTTTACTAGATGATTTTGTGGGTGTGGAGGTAGTTGACGGTTGACAGTGGGATTTTGACCGAGCCTAGGTCAAGGACAGCCCAGCCTTTGGAGGTCGTCGGAGAACCGGAATCGAGCACCAGTTCGTTATGATGTTGTGATGGAGGGATTGTCACTATGCTCGGTGTGCTTGGTTGTTCTCCCCTCTTGGGCCCTTACCAACCTCCAGGATTCACCGTCCTTCAAAGCTTGGGTGTTGGACCTTCTTTCTAACCCACCCCCTTAAATATGTTGGAAGTCTTCATGATGATTTGCTGGGATATTTGGAACTCCCGCAACAACAAGCTTTGGAATGACCGCTGTGATTCTCCAGATTTAATGGTGACATGGTGGCAACAATTTTTGTCAGAAAACACCCCCTTGCTCAGGCCCCTGGCCAAAATCCTGGTCCTCCCAAATGGACAACGCCACCCTCAAGGCGTTTGAAACTTAATTTTGATGGTGCTTGGCGTGGGGAAAACCTTTTGGGGGGTG